CACAATCACAGTCAAATTTCATTTTGTTTCACTAACAATTCCCATGTTTTTATGAACAGTTTTATTTTGTTGTTACGAGACAACAAAATAATTGTTATAAGACAAAAAAAGTGAATAGGTATTCACTTTGGTGCAGTGAATAGCTGTTTTTAAAGTGCTTTATAAATAAATTGATATTAACATTGACAAAGTTCCAGCATCGTTGCCTTTTTGCATCAGTAGCAGAGACAACGGCCAGTGTAGAAAGCCACATGGACATTTAGAGGACGGTTCCAGCAGAGAAACTGCAAGCCAGTCTAAGGGTCACTTTCCTGACAGAACAAACTCATCTCTCCTGTTATGGTCTCTCTTCATTGACTCCCTGTGCAGTACTGAATTAATTTTAAAATGTTATCTTATAAAAACCTGAATGGCCATGCTTCTTTGTACCTGCCAGTCTTTTTCCAGCCTTTTTTAAAACTCATAAGAGTTTTGATAAATAAATATAACTAAGCAGCCTTTGTCACTTCAGAACAATAACCAGGAGCACCAGGAGTCTTGGGTCAGAGCCCGGGAATTCTTATATTACTACAAGTATTAATAAAGTATTAGCATACGTTTTCACATCATAGTCAACATTTTATCCACATACTTCCCAGATAACGCAAAATGTTCCTATATTTGATTTTGACCTTTTGTTTGTATAACAAAATGTGGAGCAAAAGAAAGTAACATGAACAAATTCACTGTCAGATTCATACATTACAATCTTGACTTCCACTTTACTTGACTTCATTCATTAGCTTAAAGTTCCTTATTTGAAAACATGACAGGCATAATTATAATGTTCTTTTAGTTAAGAACAGTTTGGAAATGTATATTTTGGGCTTTCATTTTTTTGGGCTATTTGTTATTATAGTAGTTTAACTTCTTTTGTATAAAGTACGTAACTGCAAACCCGTATATCCTTTATCAAAAGATGTTTGTATGGTGTGAGGTACGGCGTACACAGTTTATCTACTGTAGAATCAGAGGATCTGTGATTGATCTCATGCTGAAGAAATCTGTTTACATGCATTCACCTGAATTACTTCATCCTGGCTCAACATAGCTGCACCTCCTGACCAAACCTGGTCACAAAGACCAGGTTTGGTCTTTGTGAAATGGACAAAAGCAGGATGAACTGATGATGCTATGTTAAACCTGGATTTATCCCTTATGCTGGATTTTGTAATCCCAGTTTCGTGAAACAGTTCTCAGGGTGACACAGTTGGTAGCACTGTTACCTTGCAGCAAGAAGGTCCTGAGTGCATTGCATGTTCTCCCAGTGATGCATGGCTAGTCTCCAGGTACTCTGCCTCCCAAAACACGACTTTTAGTTTAACTGTCTCTCCAAAGTGATTTGAGGTATGCGTGTGTGGTTGCTTGTCTTGTCATTGTACATTTACAACAACAGATGGTGCAATTGCATCACTCAAACAAAATAAAAAGAGCTTGTTGAAAGCTTTGGAAGCTTTCAAAGGACGGTTCCAGCAGAAAGCTTCCAACAAACTTTTGTTGGAAGCTTTGATTCCGAACTTTTGGAAACAAGAGCTTACGAACTTGGACTGCCTGCCACACGTGTCGGGACATGCCCACTCAGTCCTATGTGCCACACAACTACAGGAGCACGTGTGTGTGAGCAGCTGTGTTTGTAAATCAAGTGTTGCAAAACACATTCAGCAACCAATATGACCATGTTTTTCTGTCAGGTGTCACTGAAGTGGAGGAATCATATTTTTTTTATCACCATTTTGTCATATGTGTGTGTGGGTGAAGGAGTACGAGAAACTGGAGAAATACCAGGGCCTCAGAGAGGAACTGGAGAAGGCCTGGAAGGTGAAGACCACAGTGGTGCCTGTGGTCATCGGGGCCCTCGGGGCAGTCACCCCCAAACTGGAGCAGTGACTAAAACAGATCCCAGGAACAACATCAGACATCTCAGTCCAGAAATGTGCAGTACTATGCTAAGCCAAGATACTGCGCAGAACCCTCAAGCTCCCAGGCCTCTGGTAGAGGACCCGAGCTCAGAGGATGAAAGAAAGAGAGAGAGAGAGAGAGAGAGAGAGAGAGAGAGAGAGAGAGAGACCACCTGTGGAGGGTGAGAGGGGAATTTTTTTTTTTTATATATATATATATGTGTGTGTGTATATANTTTGTTAATATTCTGTCCTAAAATGCGGTAAGATGTGCCCTTTTTTTGTTGTTGAGCACCTGCCTCTTTAGTGGTCTCTGCACTGCCCTGTCTATGTGGATGTATGCACTGCATGACACCAATTAGTCTTGAAACTTTGAACTCCAAATGCAACCCCCCCCCCAACCAACAATCAAAATAACAACAATTAAAATGGTTATCTGAGGGGTTCTGAGGTTTTAAGTGCATTTTTTTTTTTTTCAAAGACATATTTAGTATGTGGCACTTTGATGGTTAGTTTATGATTAATCTCTCTCAAGACCATTTTCAAGGTCACCCAAAACTGAAAGTTTGCACAGTAAAAGGTTTAGGAATTAAAAATGAGATAGCATGTTCTCTTCAGACATACTTTGCTGTTTGTATTACATAAGGGTAGCGGATTCTTTGCCACCTCAGAACAGACTCTGCTGCCATCTTGTGGCATAAAGCAGACTCACGCCCACTTTTATTTCAATTATTTATGTTTGTTTAGTCATGAATCTGACAAGCACATTGTTTTGCTCATCGTTCTGATCTCCTGCACCTGCCACCACCATGTGATCAACTAAACAGGATTCTTTGGTTCTGTTTGCATCCACCACCACAATAAATCTCAAGCTGCCCTGCATGAAATAAAAACTTTACTGATTACCTAAGGTGTTCTCCACAACTACCTTTGGTGTTGTTACGACCAACCTGTAAAGTTTTTATAAGGGTTGTAACTTGTTGCAGAGCAATGGCTGTGAGATGGAGTTTGTCTGGTAATCAGGAATGTCAGGGTTGGCTTTCATTTATTCTTGTTTAATGTGATTTTGTTTTTCCTGCTGAAAACTATTCATTTCTGCAAGGCTAACGGCTATTTTGTGTTTATAAGATAGTTAGACTTTGCCAAAACAACACTGAGCCCAGTTCTCTTTTTACACCACTTTGTTCCCTCAGATTAATCTGAACATTTCTTTTTTATGGAATTCTTTGAGTTAGTTTCATTGATCAAGTACTATTACTTTTCCTTTCCAACTTTGTCTCTTTCACAATTTTTGTGCTTTTTAGATCTCATTTTTATTTCATTTATCAATTTTTATCAAGAGTGTTTTCAGAGAATATATATGTATATTTTATTGGATCCTTTTTAAGCCACTTTGGCACTACATTGAATGCTAACCTAAATTGCATTGTGTTGTAACTCTATAATGCTGTAACAGTTGCTATCGACTGATGGGGCTAGTGATCTGGATGCAGCATGGAGCCAACACAGAAATCAGAATAAATAACATTTGTCATTTTTAGAATCTCAAACATCGATGTTCATTTAGTAAAGGCCTTCAGAGAAGAGGACAGCTGTATTTGCAATGACTACACACAAATGGCCTCGAGGTTACCTCTGCATTTAGGGATGTCAGAAAGAAAGGGATTTCATACATATGTATTTCTCACTTTTCATTTCATGTTTTTTTTTTAATGTTAAAAAAAAACATGTATAGTTTTAATTTTCTTTCAAAATTCTTACATTCCATCCTCAAAAAATACACAAAAATTTCTGGTTGCAATCTAACAAAATGTGAAAAAAGTTCAAGGGCGGCGAATGCTTTGGCAAGACTGTGTAAGACGTAGATAAAGCCATGGCTTCATATTATTGGTCAGTTTGAGATCAGAACATTTGTGAGGAACACTTCATGTTTCTACACTGTTTTCAGAGTTGACAAATGAGTTATATCTACTGCTTCCAAGTATGCCAGTGTGTCAAAAGTCTTGAGTGAGCAACTTTATGTTTTTTAGTAACATTTTTTCTGCAGCAACCACTGAAGGTCATTCTTAATGAACATGTACCCAAACAAGAGATAAGTCTTGATCTGCTGTTCTCACGTCAACAGGAAAACTCAGAGTGATGGAGTCATGCAGTGTGTTAAACAAATTACACTTGTTTGTGTATTTCCGTAAGCGTGAAAGTCCTTGTTGCTGTTATGGACAATGTTTATTTGATGTAGCTTTTTGTGTCTGTGCACATTGCTTTCAGAAAACTGTGATTGACCATATTAAGTTGAGGAGTTGCAGTGTTCCTCTATACTGTTTTAGATAAAGAAACTGTCCTTCTAAGCATAATATTAGCAGCTTCATTATCTGTTTATGGAGAAAATGTGTTAATCCGACTGCTGATTGTTCTACATCTAAGTTTGTGGCTCACCGGTGTGAACTGTTGTGGTGGTATGAGATGTTGCTATAAAAAAAAAAAAATAAAATAAAATTGACTAAATAATGTAGATGTTTACCAAGATTGATTTTCTTTTGAATCAGGTGGGCTGGCAAACACTGCTCAAACCACGTTTGTTTACTTATCACTTTTCCGGCAACAGTTAACAGCTTGACAAACCTACTGATGTTTATTGAATTTACTATCGGTTTTGAATGTGGGTTAAATGTCCAGGTGCATGGACATTCTGTCAGCAGCAGCAAGGCAACCCTCCCAAAAATTTGCTCATCGTACTAGTAACGTCAGCAATTTGCAACATTTTGTTAAAAATGTAGTACGTTATGTTATTGGTGTACCACCCCCGATACTAGCACTCATCTAATGTTTTAATCCTCATTGTAAGGACCTAAAAGGAGGCTCCTAACTTGGCATCTGAACTGTTACAAAATAAGAGATAAAAAAAAAATTCTGTCAGTCTTTAGAAATATGTTATTGAAATGCCGAGTATGAAAGGGAGAGAGAAAAAAAAAAAAAACATTACTCATTCTCAATCTTTTTTTCTCTGCCCTCCCCTCCCATGCGATCCTGGAGGAGGTGCAGGGAGGTGACTTTACCTCAGCGTCCAAGCCCATGATGTGTGTGTGTGTGTGTGTGTGCGTGGGTGTGTGCGTGTTTGTGTGTGTGTGTGGGAAAAATATTAACAAAGAAACACTGGTGGATGAAGGGAAGAGAGATGATGGGTTGACTTTTGGAAAGCATCTTTATTGAAAGACTGAAGAACATGAATTCCAAAAAAGTCCTCCATTTTGTTCCATCTGGTGAGTTCACAGGGGATTTAACGGGGCGAGAAGGTCTTTTCATAATGCAACCTGAGCCAGCTGTGTCAAGTGTATGAGAAAGCCTGTTTACAGAACGCAGCTTTTTGTCTGAGTGAGCTGTTAGTGTTCATTAAACAAAACTTTATGCATGGTATAAATTGTCAAAGAAATTGTAATTTCTCTTATTTACTGTTTCTTTTTTATCTTGTTCTGTCCTAATTTAGAAACCCCGTTGTTACACAGGACAAAAACGCTGTTTTATTGCCAGGAGGGCATATGAGTCAATATTTACATCATAGCAATAAACGACACTTCCATCAAGTGTTTTAAAAAAACAGGCAGGACCTAAATTTCCTTCTGCACTACAACAACTACAGAAAAAAAAGGAACTTTTAAATACTCGATTATTAGACTTTATATTTATTCTTAATAAAGCAGCACTTGAGCAAACTCTTTGTTCAGATTGTTTCACCTCTAAATGCCAGGCTGTAAATTATTTTGTCTCTCGGCTGGAACAGGACGATACGTTTCTTTGTTGTTTGTCTCCAAGAACTCTTAGTTGGAATGTGTCTGTGTTAGTCTGACCAAAGTACAAAAATAATTTATATGTCAGTCTTTCTGCTACTCCTTTAAAGCGTTAAAGTAGTAACCAGCTTAGTTTTTTTTTTTTTACTGGCCAAGGATTAGGAAGATTAACTGGCAGAAAATGTTCTAATCTAATGAATTCCAACTCTCATTTAGACAATTTCAAGACTAACATTGATGTATGTATAATAGTTCAGTTTGGGAAAAAAAATCTAGTTTTTTACATTAAGCCTATATGAGTCCCAGGCTTTGTTACTTGATTTTATGATCAGACGTAAAGGCTATTTATAAGTCACCCCTGTAATTACTGAGAAATGGCTCCTTACAACCCGTCTGTCGTACAAGGATTAGTGCCACATGTCAAATTAACCCCCTTGATGTCTAGTTTGGGGGGAAAAAGGCATTCAGGTATGTTATTTAGCTGTTATACTGCATCTGATGTGTCACTGATTAAAGTTGGTCCAGCAGTCAATTTCATGGATTCAGATAAACACACATTAGTCTCTTCTTATCAGCTTCCTTTGAGGTGTTTAAGTGGAATGAGCTGCAGTTCCTGCTTCCTGGTATTTGTTTTATAGCCATAAAGCATGTGAATGTGTACATTGTGAAATTTTAAACTTTCCGTGGTACATTAGAGGGACCTGAAATTTGAGTGCTGTCTTGAGTCAATTTATTTTTAAATTATGCTTGGTTTCAGTATATTTAGGTTAATTTTAAGTAGTTATTTTTAGGCCTTGTTAAGTTAACCCAAAAGTTCTTGATCAGTCTCTCTTTTGCCCAGAGACCAAACAAGCATTCTTTTCTTTGTTTTTGCTCAAGGACATTCACTTTCCAGCCTCAGATAACAGTCTGTGAATAATAAAACAATAAAGTGGGAAGAAAATACCCTCAATACAGGCATCCAGTCGTGTTCAATAGCTTAGCAGGGTTACAGAAACTCAGATCTGAAGTTATACAAACAGAAATTGATGAAAGTCTAGTGATTCCTTTTAGTCTGGTTCATATTTTATTAAGTCTGGTCAAATGTCCTAATTTTTATACATAATCTTGTTGATAAACAGACAACAAAAAAGCACAGAAAACACGCCTCCATTTTCACACCTTACATGGTGTGCAATATATTTCAAGATTATGACTAAGTGGGAAAACCTTTTTCAGTGTGAAGGGAATTATGAAGTTTCCTTATTCTAACCAGAGGTGGTAATTATAGCTCAACACATACCTCAGGTTGTATGGAGTCACAGTTCTGAAACAAGTAAAGGTATGATTTTTTTTTTTTTTATTCAGTAGAAAGCAAAACTATTAGACATTTCTGACGTTTTTTATTCAAGGAATCTGTTATAATAGTTCTCAAAAGTAGCCTGCACAGAACTGACCAGTTTCTACAGTTAATGGATGGATTATAAAACAAGAAAATCACTTGAAATTGATCAATGCTGCTGTTTTGGAGCTTTTTAATAAGACTGTGCCAACATTTAGAAATAAAAAAATGCTCAAAATACTTTGGACCTGTTTCGATATATAAACAATCCAGCTTGTCAGTTGTAATCAAATGCACAAAAAAGCAAACATTACTTTTTGATGAACACCTTAGATGTGCCCATTGAAATATAAATGTGACATAAAAGTCATTAGAAATAAGACAAATTATTATTATTATTATTATTATTATTATTATTATTATTATTATTATTATTATTATTATTATTATTATTATTATTACCTTTATGCACAGCACTGTTGTGGCTGCATGTCTGTACTACTAAGCCTCCCATGGTATTTGACGCTTGTTGAAAGCTACAGGTTGCAAGATTCTGACTTTTGCCTTTTTGTATCCGTATCAGTGATGGTTACATTTGGCTTGACTTTGTTTCAAATGAACAATGAAGTTCAATGTAAAGTGAATTTATCTTATCATTATTTAAAAAAAAAAAAGGATAAAAAGTTGCAGTTCGGTCTGCCTTCTTTCTCCAGCTACGCTGTAGCTGGATGAGAAAGTTTAATGTAGCCAAACAGTAAACCAAGGGGTTAGGAGTCCTCTTTGTTTTGGGGTCACTTTTCAAAGTTTTGCAACAGAAGGTTGAATTTAGTTTTGCATTTGTGCAATTTTGAAACAATGCTATATTCCTTGGATGAACATGAGTCCCAAATCAAAAGGGCTGTATGGGAAATTATTGGTTCAGTGTGTGTATTGTTAGCATCCTTAGATCTCAGTATTAACCTTGATCCATTGTGTACATGGTTCAGGTGACTCTTCATGATGTAGCAAGGTAGATATTGGCACATTTTGGGTTCCTGAGTACCAACCGAGCTTATTTAAACATCATGCCAAACATCAGTGTGTTTTGTGGAGCATGTCCATCTTTTTTAAGACAACAGTTTATCCATATTGCAGTGGAGAGAGTAGAACATGCTAAACTGTAGTAGTTACCAAAGCTCAATATAGCAGAACACATTTGGGATGTGATTATGCATATGAAACTGCATTGACTGTGTGATGCCATCTTGCCAACATAGACAAAAATATCTGAGAACTATTTATGATGCCTCAATGAATCTATGCTGTTACTTTTAAATTTTTGGCATCCGTTATGTAAACAGCCAAGAATCATGAACAGGGGAATAAGAATTTAAACCTTCTGGTATCAAGAGAAGAAAGTGGTGTGAAACCTTTAATAAACAAGGTGAAAGGAGCAGAGAGCAGACTGTTTTGGTTTCCGCTTTCCACTGTGGAAAAAGTCACAGCTCAGCCTTACTGTTCTGTCCCAAGACTGCTTCATGTTTGCATTAGTGGGCCAGGTTCCCAGCAGACTTACTAGCAGAAGCTGGCAGGACAGCAGGTAAACAGAAACAATCTAATTTACTTCCTGCGCTCTCTTCTGACCAAACAACAGCAGGTAAAGGAGATAAAACTGTGATTTTCTAATTATCGTTGTCCTGCATATTTTCTTTTAAAGCCCAAATCCCACTTGTGTCTGCACAACAATTTAAAAGACATTATATTTCAATACCTATCTCTGCTGCATCTGTCGTTGAGAGCATTAACGTTAAAGCTTTTGAGACAAGGCTTAAAAGATCTCCAAAATCATCTGCACAGCTAAGTTAGGGTCAAACTGCTTGTTGCAAAAGAGTCATGGGTCCCCTGTTGTCTCCAGACTTCTGTGATGTGGAGAAGGCCTGGGAATGTTCTGTCTAATCAGATTTGAGATATAGCCTTGCTCCGGAGCCCCTGCAGCCAAACTCTGCCTAAGGCAAAAAAAAAAAAAAAATCCATCTGCACAGCTGCAGGAACACCTTGAAGATACACGATCGCCCATACAAACACTGCACACAGCTGGCGTCAGGTTTTTGTTGTAACCAAATGTGAAAGAATGTTGCTGTTTTCTTAGCTTCCCAAATATTTTCCTAACCCAAACCCACCACTCGCTTTTTAAGAAAATTTAAAGGTCAAGTTGTCACAGTGGGATGTAAATTATTCAGTGATCTCGGATGGTAATGGGTAATTAGTAAGCCTTTTAATGAGAATTTTTACTCTGGTGTGCAAGTTAGAAAAGGGTTGATATTTTTCTGGGGCATGTGAACATGTTACTTTATCATTTTTCAAGAGAGCACCCTTATTGTTGGTGATTTTAAGATTTTGACAGAGAGACGATCATCCATCCCTACTGCAATCAGATAAATTAAACAAATTTACTTGAAAATATTGTAATTACACTGTATTTATGTTGCATTTTTTTTCCACCAATCAAAATAACATAAGGAAAATAGAAAATGATGCCTGGAAGTCACTGGTCAAGTGCCAGCTTATGTTTTCATGCTTTGCATAGTAAACTATAAAAAATAGATTGTTGTCCTTCAGCCCTTTTTTGTATTTTTCAGCTGAGGCTGATGGTTCAGTTACTGTTCACTGAATGATCTGAGCTCTTTATGTCTGCAGTTTTTGTCTTCAACTGGTGAAATGTAGTTTGACCATCTGAGATCTATTTCATAGTTGTAGACTGAAGGATTTTACATCCTTCTATCAGTGACTTTTTATCTGAAGCCACATCTTCTTATTCTTACACTTCACCCAAAAATAGGCAATGACTAGGCTAATTGTTTTTTTGTTTTTTTTAGTTCAGTTTGCAGTAAAACGTCACATTGATGCACTTTGATTTATACATACTTGTCTGCTCTTAAGAATGCTTCACAGAAAATAATACAACAATTCACAGTTAAAAAAAAGAAGTTTACTGTGAAAATGCATTCTAACATTTTGAGACATGTCCTCATACTGCCCAACTTTTGGATGATTAACTTTTTTCATTATTCTCCTCTGCTTAAAGTTCATATGATTCTAACCTTTCCATGTCTGAGGTGCGGGACGGTGACTTTCCAGACAATACAAACAACAATAAAAATCTTTAATAAAAGAGACAGCCAGCTTGAGACTGAGCCTGAAGCTTTGTAAACATGTTTATTTTTTCACTTCCACAGAGGCTCCATCCACTGGGAGGTCTAAGAATGGATATGTTTTCCAGGAGATGGGTATGTAGCTGCATCCACACATAATGTTTACCGAGACTGCATTTCTCAGCCTTGTCCGCCCCTCTTATGAACTCTATGTGCTCTACATTTCATCAAATATTATTTGAGGTATTTTCATGCGGGATGATACATGCGTCAATTGGTTCTTTATGCTAATATCAAACTTTCTCTTTGCTCACTGATGGCCCATTTCACATCCTGCTGAGCACAGCCGGTCCATTCTCTGTGTGCTGGAAGGTTAATTAATAGGTGAAAAACAAGGCAGGTGATCTCTGAGTTAATGATGGGTTGAAGGAATAATCATTGCACAAAGCTGTGCTTGTGAAGGGTTAATTTTCTAATTCTGAGGCGGTTTCTCTTCCTCCCATAAAACCCGCAATCAAAAACCCATATTTATCTTCTATACATGAAGGAATTTACGAGAGGCTGCTGTTGTTATATTGCAGCATGTCTGGTTTGAGGGGGATTTTTTTATTGGGTCTCTCGCTCTCTCTCCCTCTTGCTGTTTTCTTGTCAACAGATGGCAAAGTGGAGGAAGGGCAGAATAAATTGTCCCTTACTGGAGATGCTGTTAATGTGGCTAGCATCCCATTGATTCAAAAAGCAGTTTTATCTCAGTGTGATCATAACGCAGCAGCATCGGAGGCTCTCTAATGACATTTACAGCTACTTTTATGTGATTACCTCAGTTGTAAAACAAATTATTTGTGACAAAGCTGAAACTGCAGAGTGAGATGTGTTGCAAAGACTGAGACTTTGTTTTTGTGATTGAATTTTAATGTTTTAATCCGCAGAGCTGAAGGATGGAGAGAAGGACGATTCAGATCAGGACTCACCTACCATCATTACAGACAATCTTTATGAAAATGACATCCATCTCAGTGTTTCAGGTTTGTGCCTCGGGAAGACATGAAGTTTCTTTTGAAAAGTCAACATTTATGGAATTAGCAACTCAGATCAACTAAGAAACTACAGAGTAATTTTGCTTTACATGAGGCATTAAGATAAACTGGAAATTTGAGAAAAAGTTTGGATATGATGAGAAAATCTAAACATTGTATTTACTTCTTTTTATACAGACGCTGGAGATCCTGGCTATGGACTTTTAAACACGACAAGAAAAGTAAGATTTTATTTCTGTTTTTTTTTTTTTTTTGAAAAACTCAAAATAACTGCAAAACATACTTTTTAAATCTAACTTTAAGATTCCAAAAACACAACAAATTGCTTATACAAAAATAAAATAAAAAATCTGTATTGAAAAAGACCTCAGAACATCTTGTAATTCAAAAGCTTGTAGAATACCCCGTAAGCAATAATACCTCTCTGAAGTGGTTTTTGTGTTTTGCATTGTTTTGGAAGAATTTTGATCCGCTCTCATGTACAACATTGATTCAATGTGAATAATTTCTGAACTGATACATAAACCAGGAACCTTGAATATGAAGCAGGGCATAATTAATTTTTATTACAACAAAACAGCTTGGAAAGACCAAGATCTCATTTTTTTTTAAGTTATATAAGGTAAACAATCACAACAAAGAGCCATTAACATAATAAAGGCAGCTTGCCAGTAAACTTTTGCTATCACAAAATGATAATCCAGAAGGGTCAAATAATTAAAAGCACCAAAATAGAGTCCACAAAAAATATCAGCATTCAGCAGCATAAATGTGTGACTGTGTAAAACCCAGGTGGAAAATAAATTGGGGTATGTGAGAGGGATAGTGCCTGAGTTATTTTAACAAATTCAGGGTGACGTAAAGGGATTAGTAAAAAAGGTTTTCAGCCTTCAACAAGTCTGTGACATTTCTTGGAAGTACTGTAAATTATATCTCTTCTAGCACTCAGTTAAAATTAAATGACCTGAGCTCAGTTTCTCGTATAAGGCCCATAAGATGACCAGTTTCCTTTCGCAGTTCCTAATCACATATATTCTGTTCTCCTTCCTATCAGTATGTAAAGCCCATGAACTTCCAAGAGGAAGTGCGTGCCCACAGAGATCTGAACAGCTTCCTTTCTCAGGCCAGCATCCTTCTGGACGAAAAAGCTGCCACTCTGGACGAGGTTCTGAGGCGAATGATTGCTCACATGGTGGAGGACGGCCATGGCAGCTGTAATGTAGAAGAGGTGATGAACTCACTGTTCACAGATGCAGGAGGCAGAGATATTAACGGTGAGTGAAGAAGGGAAGTCTTCGCAATTATTTTCTTGCAACATAAAGATTAAAACCTTCATTGTCTTGTCTTTTCATTTATTCTGCTTCTCCAGTTCACCTTCTGATGGAGACTATTCAGGGTGTGACTGCTACTTCAACCGGTATTCATTATCAGCAGTCTTGGCTTTGCATACTGTGAGTTAAGCCATAACAATGAAGCTTTCTTACCATGTTTATGGTCACAGAATTTCTACATTTTACCAGTTCTTTTTGGTGGTGTCAGATCATTCAGACTTGTCAGTTTTAAATGCTAAAGCGTCCCTGTTTTTTGTATAGCTCCAATGTGAGAAACCTGCAGAGGCGTCATGTTTGTATTACCCGCCTGGAGAGGCCACAGAATTGGGGAGTCAACTGCTGCGAGGCCCGTTATGTTATCCTGATCCTCGCACCGCCTAGAACGGTAAAGCAAAAACTGAAAACCAAATACTTTGAGTATCCCTGGGAATTTTGTATGAACAAGCTTGAGCAAAAATGTTTTAATGATTCCAGGACTGATGAATTTGAACAGTTCTTTTATCAGGCTGGAACTATTGTTTGAGCAGATTTAACCCCACAAGTCTTTGGTTGGCTTTACATTTGAAACTTGTTGATGACTACAAAAAGTGTGGCTTAACATATAGGTTGCTAGGGGAAGTTGTATATTAGTGGAACTGTACATTTGTTTTGGAACCTGTATGTATAATTTTGACCATGTGTAGATTGGAGAAAACAACAAACTAAGATTTGAGCAGCCATTTTTGAAAAACAATTGAGGTTAAGGATGATCTCTAGCAAAGCATGTGAGATTGAAAAAGTGAATGTAAATAGAACACACTGCATCTGCTAAATTCCTTTTTATGAACAACTGTTTTGCAGAAAAGCACCAAGACGGCTGTTGAACTGGGTAGGACATTTGCCACAATGTTCTCTGACATTGACTTCAGGCAAAGGCTTCTGGAGACCAAAAGTCAGGAGGAGTTCAAACAGGAGCTGGTCTCCCAGCGACACCAGCTCTCTGTAGCCAGCGAGAAGACAGTGGTAGAGGAAGTGGAAGACTCGGACCCACGAAGAGGAAAAGCACTCCAGGTGTGTAATAATAGACTCAAAGTACAGGCAGTTCTGTGTGTAATCAGTCTAGAATTTACTGATATAGGAGACCATTTATACAACAGGGTGATAAATGAATGCCAAAACGCATTAACCAAAGGAACAAAAAGATGTCCGACAAAACATCCTTATTGCATTTGCCCTAGTGTCTGCACTCTGTGCTAACTTCTCAAACTCTCCAGATGTGGAGACCACCCTTGTGTTTTCTGGCTCTATCCAGGCATATAAAGATGTGGTGCAGTAAACTAGATGAGCCAAATTATCTGAGTATCCTGTTTGTACACTCTATTAGCCAGACTGGTAGAATGAGAAGCAGCTGGGCAACAGCACAAAAGAACTGGCAACCCCTTCACTATGCTGACGGCAAAATGTCTGCAGCTCTGTGCAACGATAAACTACTTCATTATATGCAGTTTTTAAATTTGGAGGAAATGTTTGTGTTAAGCAGGGGAAGAAGAAGGAACACCCAAAGACTGAAGCGAGAGAACATACTGGTCTGGGTGGTAAAAAGGCTGCAGCTCCCAACAGGCTGTTGATGTGACTGGGCTGAAAACAGCTACACTTTGGATTGTAGCCGTCAAGCTGCCTCTTAATCTGTGATTTAATTCCAGCATTGTAAACTAGAAACCTAACAAAATAATCTGGTACATTTGTTTTTATGGTCATTTTGCACATGCTACACAAAGTTTAAACACCTTATTTAGCAAGCATGTGGAAAAATGCTATTTTATTTCCAAATACACAAATGATCATTCTGTCCTCTCTTGCTGATCAACCAGGACATTTCCTGACCTAATGTCGACATTTCATCACAGCAATGAAGGAAATCACCCACATTTTGATTGATTTAGCATTCTTTTACACAAAGAAAAGGTGGATTTACAATATATTTCCTTGATAATTGAATCGTAAACTCTCAGCTTTTATTTAAAATAATGTTGCAAACATCCTTCAAAGTCTTGGTCACACAAGAAATTGTTTGCTTGATTAGGAATACTCTGAAGGCAGATGTTAAGGACCTAAATCCTGTATAATGTCTTTCCTGATGATCAATATGCACACCGTGTCAACAACAAGCAGTGTTGTAGCTTTCCCTCTCTTCAAAAGATACATCCATGTTTCAGGTTTGGAGAAAAATTTGAAAATGTCAGCATTTGGTCAAATTTTTCTGTGCTCGTCAAAGTTTTATCTTGCTCTTGTGGATGTTGAAAATACATGTGAATATGGTTTCCAAATTGTTATGAAGCTAAAGCAGTACTTTTGACCAAGGAATGTTATCTGTTTTTAATTCCTAGCCAGTGAAACACAAGAAAAAACTTTGTTTTGTTTTTGATTCAGGAGACAGAAATTTATTCCAGGTTATATTAATGATCTTATGCACACTGGACCAGTTAATAAAATCTTTACTTCAGTGAATTGCTGCTAGTTTTACCGAGTTGGTTAAAATGTTCTGGTATTACATTTTGTCAGTATTACATAGGGTCTTAGATGGATGTGAACATTTTCAGTCAAAAACATTTGTAAAACTCTGAAAAGAAAAAAAAAACAAAAAAAACTCTTTGATTATAATCATAACCATACTGGAAACTTTGTAGAAACAAGCATATATCTGACTTGTTACGAAAGGTCTCTGTGATCTTTTTCAAGATCTCACTGTTTAAGTTTAGCTGAACAAATTATTGAATTGAGTTTGTCCAGGAAAGAGGAATAACTAAACACAGAGGCACTGGGCCGGTTGTACTTTCCATGGGAAAGAAATGTGAAAAGTAGACAAAGATAATGGCAGCAATAGATCTGTCTGTGGTTTAACTGCAGGAAAGAAACATAGCTACACACGGACACTCTGGGCCAGAGGTACTTTGTATAGTAAGGGAAAACAAAAGGCTTTAAATTGCTGACTATATTCTGCTTTGTGTCTTACAGTGCAGAGATTTCTTCAGAGCTGGTAAAGGTGTTTATGATGACCTTCGTCGGAGACTGCCTCTTTATCCTTCAGACTTCACAGACGGTATGGCAATGTTGTAAAGTGTTCTGCTTTTTTTTGTAATTTTTTTTAAATAATTTTCTGTTCAAGGTTTTTACATCTATGTTTACCCAATTAACAGGTATAACAGGGAAGGATCGCTGTTTACTGAAATATATCACCACAGCTATCTTCCTCTACATCGCCATTCTCCTGCCTGCAATCGCTTTTGGTTCTCTGAATGATGAAAGCACAAGAGGGGAAATAGGTATTGACTTTGTCTTTATTATTATCTGATACAGCACTATTTTTATGTACCACATTTCCAACTGTTGGTTGTTTTTTACATGGATAGATGTTCAGAAGACCATTGTTGGCCAAAGCATTGGAGGAGTGATCTACTCTCTGTTTGCTGGTTCCCCTCTGGTCATTCCTCTGACCACTGCACCCCTGGCCATTTTCATCAGCGGTGTGTATTGTTTGGTGATTTTTGAAAAAAACCTAGAAGTGGACTTAATTTTTACTAGTTATTTTTATTTATTTATTTATTTATTTTTATAAAATCAACAGAAAAAACAAAACATTCCAGTTTACACATACAAAGATACATAGAAAGGCTGAGGCATTGCTATGCTATTCAGAATAGATAATTACATATTTTTCCAAGCAGTTTTACAGAAAAAAACTTTTCTGAATTTGAAAGAAAAAAATATTTATGAGTTGTTGCCTGTGTCTTGCATGTATAATTCATAGTCATCAGGGGTATCTGTGATGACTACGGCCTCGACTTTGATGCTTTCTACGCCTGCATCGGTTTATGGAACAGCTTCTTCCTTATCCTCGGAGGCTTATTCAATGTCAGCCTGATGATGAAACTCTTCAAACGGTGAATACACAACATGACTCCTTTTCTCCTCACAGACTCTGATTTGCAACACATTAAAAGAAGCATTGACCCATGGGGCCACTTACTGAAGTGAAATCAATAAGAAGAAAAAGTTTTATTTGTTACAAAGTTCTGGCTTCACCAGCATTAATCAGTGTTCTTTGTTGGTGTATCTTCTGGTAGGTTGCCTTGAATAGGTTGTTATGTCTGTGTTTTTATAAATAAAACCATAAAACATGACTTGTTATTCTTTTTTCTTGTTCTTATCTCACAGCTCAACAGAAGAGGTCATTGCGTTGTTCATCTCCATAGCTTTTGTTGGGGATGCAGTGAAAGGCACTGTCAAAAGTAAGTCTAGAAAAGATCGGGATACGTTGACCATTCTGTGAATCTGTCCATTATAGATAATGTTGACTAGCAAACATAGTTAATCACAAGTCTTCTGAGGTACTGAAAAATACTGATATATGTGATTGCTCACCTAAAAAGTAAAAATATGTTTATGGTCGATTGGAAAACAATTAACGAGAAACGGTCCTTAAAACAAAAATTTAAAATAATAATAGTCAGGTTTGTATGGCAGTTTCCCAAATATTCTTACTAACCTCTCCCACCCTTCCCCACAGTTTTTGAACACTTCTACCACGGGCCAACGTTGGCAACCACAAACAAAACTGTGGTGCTTCAGCAGATAAATGAGATTCTAGATGGGATTGAGAACCAAACAACCACCAAGCTGGAGCATAAAATTGGGACAAACATGTCACTGTTTGAACATCCGGAAGAGAAAACGTTAGTCTTCCTGCCGGAGACACTGGTGGAAAGCACAAGAGAAAGGCCCATCCTCTGTCTGCTGCTCATGTTGGGGACTTTGTGGCTGGGTTACGCACTCTACCTCATCAAGAGGAGGTACGGTTCCACCACACACTGGGTCATACTATCTATGTTATACATTGATATCATCTCTCCTCCAACTTTGAATAATATCTATTGACATTTCACATTTTGAAGCCTTGTTGCTCCATCTGGCTTGTACTTTGCTCAGAACAAACTTAATTTGAATAATGTTTGCATTGATTCTTTGAACAAACCAATAATGTCTAGATTGTGACACCCTATACTACTTAACAAATTCTTTATATTTAGTAAATGCTAGAATGAGGAAAAGCATTTTTAAAGCATTTTCTTTAAATACAAAAGTTTAATTCCTTAGTATTTGTTCAGATTTGATTTTGAACTGTATGTTCTGGGCATCCTTCACAAATTTCTTCCAAAACGGATGTTTTGGTCCATTCCTCCAGACAGAACTGATGTAACTGAGTCAGATTTATAGGCTACCTTCACCTTTCTGCCTCTGCCCTGAAAATGAGTGATTTTGGGCTTTGTTACTAAAATATTGACATTAGAGGTTTTGATTTTGGAGTTATGGCTTCTTCTTTGATGAATGGCATTTCAGCTCATACCAGCATACGACTCGTATTACTGTGGATAATAATACTCTCTTACAAGGTTTGGCCAGCATTTTGGAAAGGGTTTTTGCTTTGCCTTTCTCCTCCCTGAGTGGTATCATTTATGAACATCAGAAATGCAAAAATGAATCATAAAAGACACCAGGGTGAACATCTACAACCTGTTGTGAAAGGCATTCTAAACGATGTCTGAAAGACCAAACTGCATTCTTTGGAGCAGTGTTTCTCTGCTGTCCTTCATGTTTCATATGTAACTCTTCTCCAGCACGCCTGATTCAAATAATAGCATTACCTCCTGCATGCTATCAAGTGCTGAAGAAACCTGTTAATCATACTTATTTAAGTAATGTGCATATGAAAGGAGCAAACCCTAAAACATGCAGAATAGTGGGCCCTGAAGTAACTGGGTTGAGAATAGTGCTCTAGAGTCAGTGCAGATATTGCTCTTCAATAAATATTAACGAGATAAGGTATTAATGTTAAAACTGGGCGCACCACCCCTTAAATGCCTCCTAAGTAAAGGCAATATTTCATTTGTGTTGCATCAGTTTAGGCTGGCATGAGAAGAGGATGGGGCATTACATCAGCCCTCACTTTCAGTTCAAAGCATCTCAGCGATCTCTTTTTGCTCACGTCAGGATGGTAAATAGTCAATTTTTTTTTACTTTAGCTTCCTTTTAAATAATGATCTAAAGCAACTTGAAGAATCATCGTAGAGTTAAATAAATTCAGGATTCACTAAAACATTAGGCCTGCAAGTTTCCTTTCCAACTCTCCATCTGGGGAGTTTGAAGAGCATCTGTTATGCTATTACTCTGGCACCATTAAGTTATTAGCCACATTTACACATTTGTTCTGTTAGCAAGAAGTCTTAGTGACAAATTACTTTGCAGTTGTACTAAAATAGATTTTTGTGACAAACATGATACGAGTAAAAAAAAGTCACATTTCATAATGCAGGTGGGAAGCAACAAGCTATTTATGGATTTTAACTAATTTTCTGTGAAATAAAACTTGATAAAGATTCACATTACTGACATGGAAATGTTACGTTCATAACTTTTGGTGCCAGCCATAACTTGACATGTTATGTTATTGTTTTCATCCTAAAAGAGTGAGTACAGCAGCAACCAGTGCGAGTACCATGCAGTCTTGTATAACAGACTGCATAAAAGTTGTAGAAAGTTGTACTATGTGATGCTTTATTCCCCATGCAGCCCGTACCTGAATGGTAAAATCAGAGAGGTGGTGTCTGACTGTGCCTTGCCTATCTCCGTGGTGATATTCTCCTTCATTGGCTCCTATCTTTTCATTGACATACAGCGTGAGTACAGAGCAGTCATATCAAAGCACTGATAGAAGATTACCCTAGAGGTTTACACACGCAACCTTGGCACATAACACCTTTTGTGATTCAACACTTCTGTGGCTTTTGATGTATTCAAAAGACAAGAATATTAATGTCCCCTAAACAACACCTGCATGCAAGAAAAAATCCTAATTTTAATTTCACATTTTGTCCTGACTTGTTTGTGCTGTGCATGTGTTTGTAATATCTTTTCTCTCTTGTAAGTTCCTGTATTCAGTGTCCACGATGGTCCAATCTTCAAGTACCCTGCATTTGAAAACCTGACAGGACTGACTTCACTTGCTGCGGTTGGACTTGGTTTCCTCCTTGCACTGCTAATCTTTATCGACCAGAACATCGTCATCTCACTTACACATGTACCGGAACATAAGTAAGGCTCCAGTTTGATGTTTGAATACAGGAGCAAGACAAGAAAGTATGACAGAAATTATGTCCTATCCTTTTTCTCTGTAATAGCTTCTGAATTAGAACAGAGGTACTCCTCCTTCTGCACTTGCAAACAAGTTGGAGCTTTATGTGTGTATGTGTGTATGTGTGTATGCACATTTTCACCAGGTTGTTAAAAGGCACGGCGTTCCACTGGGACTTAATGCTGACTGGCTTCATCAACATCCTCATGTCCTGTCTGGGGTTGCCATGGATGCACGCTGCCTTTCCTCATTCCTCCCTACACGCCCGTCAGCTTGCCAAAGTAGAACAGCACGTAGAGAACGGACATGTCTACACAACGTGAGTAAAGTTAAAACAAGGTCCCCCGAAAAATCTAAACAGTCCAAATACTTTTCTCACTATCCAAGGAAGACATGTAACACGTCTCTTGGATGTTTAGCACACTGAAACATCCAGATATTATAAGCATTTGCAATTAAATGAAAAAAATGAAGCAACGTTTGGATATAATTCGTTTAAAGTTTTGCTCTTGGAGAAAGCTGCAGCTCTCCATCAGCCTCATGTTTTTGTGGGGTCTAGCACTCGAGGATTGGAGTTGCCAGACCGCTGGCAAACAATACATCATGGCACCAACCTAACCTCTATAACTGCACATGAAATTAAGCAATACAAACTCCTTTTAATCCTGAAAGTTTAAATTTCCTGCTATGTAGGACACGTCAGTCAACCACTATAGTTCACTTAATTGCTTCGCTGCTAAAAATAAACCACATTCTTATCAAGATGAGCATCAGTACTTTGATAAAAACTGGTTCTTTTTGCTCCGTTTCTGTCCGTTTAGGATTGTTAGTGTCAAAGAGACTCGTCTAACCTCACTAGCAGCGAACATCCTGATTGGCCTGTCTGCATTCATGCTACCTATCCCTCTTCAGTGGATCCCCAAACCCGTGCTCTACGGCCTCTTCCTTTACATTGCAGCCACCTCACTTGATGGAAATCAGATGGTAGATCGCATGACCCTGTTGCTAAAGGAGCAGGTGAGCAGAAAGACCATGGGATGTTTGGTTCACCCATCTAGTGATAACTAAGATGTATCTTTCTACTACTTGGTTATTCATTTCCATCCTGCTGTGTGCTTAATTACAATGATGACAAATACTGGGATTCGAAAATAGTGCATAGAAAAGAAATGAAAAAACAAAAACATGTCAATTTAGATTTTTGTTAAACTATGAAGACATCAAAGACCTTAGACAAAAATGAAGGAGGATTATATTTCCTGGTTATAATAACGATAATGTAATAAATACAGAAAACATTGTCCTAATACAATGGCGCTGTGTGGGCCAGATTACCTTGCTATAACAAAGACTTGTCTTTTTCTCTATCCATTTCAAATTTGTGAAATAACAGAATTATTATAAGACAGGGTCAGCAGCAGTTTTCATATGGGTAATGTGGTTCATTGCCCAGGGCAGCACAACCTTGGTGAGAATTTTTTTTATTTATTTTTTAACAAATCAGCCATTTGGGCTCCAAAGTAATTGTATCCTTCTTATTTGCATCTCTCTAGTGCTCTGCACAGCATAGTCACTGTAATAAATGTTAATTAAACTGCAAATGGTTGAAGTTTGTATGTGATTTAAAGCTTTCGAATTAGGGACTGAAGAAAAGAGCTACTAAGGTCTTATTTCTGATACAGAATTGTCCTGTGACTTAAAGTAAAAAAAAAAAAAAAAAACCTTTCCTATCAAAGACGGCAACATTTGTAATCTTTTACAGATGAAATTCAGAAAGCCTGTCTTTCACGTCATTTGTTTTTCACTAATAATGGCTTTTGCCTGAATGTCTGTCTGGATGAGCATGACAATGAGACAGGCCTCCTGAACCAATCATATTCCAGGAAATACTCTTAAGTGTTGTGGCGCCCCAGTGTGGTAAAAGTCTGCATCTAATCTCAGCAGCAAACAAGTTGCGCCTACACCAGGGGCAACTGGAGCCCTCCAGTCCAACTGCCCTCCAACTTTTATGTGCATTTCTGCTCCAACACTATACCATACCAACTTTATCTATAAAGCACTTTAAAACAACCACAGCTGATACAAAGTGCTGCACATTAAAACACAACATAACAATAAAAACAGTTTAAAAACAAACATACAATTTAAAACTAGATCCCGCTGGAGTTGAAAGCCAAGTAAAATAGATGGGTTGTAATGAAAAGCCTGAATTATCTCCTCTGCATGTCAGCAAGTTCTGATTGAGGTGTGTTAGAGAAGTAATGCATCCAAAAGTTGCAGGACAGTGGAACTTGAGGACTGGAGATGCAGAACCCTGGCCTACAGAACACCAAACTAGCCTAGTACTCTACTAAGCTGCACATGAAATTATTTATTACAAAACTTTGGGGCACAAATGAGAGAAAAAAATGTTCTCCTTTTTTAAAACTTCATCTGGTTGTCAGTGCGCATCAGTTCTAATTCCACCCTGGGCTACTGCCATTACATTGAACTCAATCTAATTTAATACAGTATATTAACCGCATGATCCACTTCCCATCTGTCTAGACGTCTTACCCTCCGACCCACTACATACGCCGTGTGCCTCAGAGAAAAGTGCACTACTTCACAGCAGTGCAGATGATCCAGCTCATCATCTTGTGTGCGTTTGGGATGTATCCTCTGCCCTACATGAAGATGGTGTTTCCTCTGCTCATGATCCTCCTGGTCCCTATCAGGTGAGACATTCACAGCCAGCAGGGGGCAGAGTGGCTCTAAAAAGCCTAAGGTTCAGTCAGAAGATTCATTTTGATCAATGCTCTGATTTTACTCCTGAAATATGACTCAGAATTACTTTGACTGTGGAGTTTACATATTTATAACATTGTTAAATATATATATATATATATATATATATATATATATATATATATGTATGTACACACAAGCTTATATACTCAATTTTTTTTTTTTTTTTTTTTTTTTTTTTTTCAGACCTAATCTCTCCATCTCCCAACTTTTAAAAAAAG